GGGCAGGAGAGATTAGCGAGATATTAGACACGATGGCATAAACAGTTAACTGCTGTTTACTCGTTCTAGTTGCCTGAATAAACAGGAAACTAGGGGGCTACGTTCAGCTGTAAAAAGTCGTTCAGCTGCAGCACCCTTTCGGTGCCTAACTGCCATGTCACCCGAAGGTTGCACGAGGGTTGGCATACTGCCAGGTCGCCCAAGCCTAGACAAGGGAAGTCGAGTGGCAGAGGGTGGGTTCGAACCACGGACCTTCCGGTCGGTAAATTCGCGCTCTAACCACTTCGGCCATCCAGGGAGCTACGCAGTGAAGGCAATCGATTTGGAACGAGCGTAATTGACAGTGCGACTGAGACGTCTTCCAGTGTCACCGATGGATGATGAACTTAGTCTCAAGTTACCTGTCCTTCAGAACCTAGAAAACTTCTTCGCCGAGGAAGTTGGCTGTCCATTGCCGATGATTTTTTTCCAGTCCATCGTTCCCACCAGCTTCGCCTGAGTCGGTTTCATAATGGATATCCTAGGATACACCGCATGGAGACCATCTGCAGCAGTTTATTGGCCCCACATGAACAGACATATGAATCACTGTGTGTGAACCGCTTTAAGTGGGCAGCTGCCCAGGAGTCACCCAAAGGACAATCACTGCAGCCTTGGACACAGCTGCGTATCCAAGTAGCAGGAAAAATTCTCCCTCTTTCTGATCATCATCATCATCATCATCGACAGCATGGCATCAGTGTTCAACACCGATGCCTCACTGCCGTACAACCATGATTTATTTGAAAGCCTTATTGTGAAGAAGCAAAGGTGGACTTGGCGCTAGCTTACCACAATCATTCCGAGGTGCCTACACCTCCATACATTCACTCAGGCAATCTGGACAGAAACTGACAACAAGAACGCCACTGAGATCGGTTGACAGCCATATCTTGTAGTGTCTCCAACCAGGCACAGTGAGGATTACGCAGTCCCCATCCTGGAAGGCGAGTAGCACCGACAGCACCCAAGCGTTTCGTAATCTCCTCTCTGCCAAGTAGAGGTCGACCAACTCTGTGAGTTGGGCATGGAAAACAGCATTCCCTTCGGCAAACGATGGTTCGGCATACGCAACCCAACCAACGCAGCTTCTGGTGCTGGACACATTCTTCAATGGAAGTACCCGTTACACAACCGAAAACACGCTTTCTAACTGC